AATCAACAGGATTAGGTGGGAATTGGCCACGGTGAGACCCTCCAGGTCCTCCCAGGAGCTCCTGCCTCCTCCTCAAGCACCCGGGAGCCGCATGGAAAGATGCGGCCTGCACGGCGGGCATGCGGGCGCATTCATTAAGCGCCCGAGCCTCATTGCCGGGCCTCTCCAAGGCAGCCCTCTCCAGCAAAGCCTCCCTCCTGGGTCCCATCTGGGTCTGCTTGGCATGCTGAGCCCTTCTTCCCGGCCTCCTCCTTGCCCGTCTCCAAAGCAGCTGCAGGAAGAAAGGGCCCAGCCTGGAAGCCAAGCGCATGGGGATGGTGGCCGTGCCAGCGCCAAAGAGGACCACTTTGGCCTCCACGGGACGGGGGACAACTTTGCAAAAAGTTGGAGAGGCAACTTTCTCGGATGCGGGATTCCCACTCGTAATCATCCGCCCAAGGATGCCAACGACAAATGAGCAAACAACAACGACAATAATGTTTCGTGTCAGGAGCGACTTGAGAAACTGCAAGGACGTTGCCCAGGGGACATTGCCCATCCTGTGGGAGGCATATTTCATGTTCCCGCATGGGAAGCTGAAGCTGACAGATGGGAGCTCAGCCCACTCCCTGGATTCGAACAGCCAACCTTTCACTCAGCACTCCTTCTGGTGTGAGAGAATTGGCTGTCTGAAGGGATGTTGCCTGGATGTGTGACTATCCTATGGGGGGCTTCCCTCATGTTCCCACATGGGAAGGTGGAGCTGACAGATGGGAACTCAGCCCACTCCCTGGATTCGAATAGCCAACCTTTACGTCAGCAGTCCTTCTGGTGTGAGAGAATTGGCTGTCTGAAGGGATGTTCCCTGGATGTGTGACTATCCTGTGGGGGGCTTCTCTCATGTTCCCGCATGTGAAGCTTGATCTGACAGACAGAAGCTCAACCCGCTCCCTGGATTCGAATCGGCAACCTTTCAGTCAGGAGTCCTTCTGGTGTGAGAGAATTGGCTGTCTACAGGGATGTTGCCCAGGGGTGTTGCCTGAATGTGTGGCTATCCTGTGGGGGGCTTCTCTCATGTCCCCGCATGTGAAGCTGGAGCTGACAGACAGGAGTTCCCCCTGCAACTTGAGAAACTGCATGTCGCTTCTGGTGTGAGAGAATTGGCTGTCTGCAGGGATGTTGCCCAGGGGATGTTGCCTGGATGTGTGACTATCCTGTGGGGGGCTTCTCTCATTTCCCCACATGTGAAGCTGGAGCTGACAGATGGGAGTTCACCCTGCTCCCTGGATTCGAACCGCTGACCTTTCAACCGGCATCCTGCTGACACAAGGGTTTAACCCATTGTGCCAATGGGCGCTCTAATAATAATAATAATAATAATAATAATAATAATGGTATATATTGGGGACCAACTTTTCAAAGTTTTGAAGGCCAAAGGAGGAACCTGCGATATGTGATTTGAGAAGGACCTCAAGAGTATTTTCAGCAGTCGTGTGGAAGCAAAACGGTACGGCCTGTCCAATAAACCTATCCGTACTACAATATCCACCACTCGAGGATTCATTTCGGCGGCGTTCTCCGACCCGTCCCTTTCTCCCTCCTCGGGTTTTTCATTACAGTTTAACATAGTTTAAGGCTCGGCGGCGTGGAAAAAAAAAAACCAATTGCGTAATCGTTGATATGCGTTTTAATCTCGGCGTTCGGCGCCGGCAGAATGAGAGCGAGCGAGTGGTCCGAGAATACCAAGCAGGCGGGGAAAACGAGGGAGGGGAAAAGCCATTTGGAGCTCAGCTGGGGACCGGCACATGTTCTCGGGTGGGTGGAAGGCTCCCCCACTTCGCGGAGAGTTATTCAGGTCTGCCTTCGGAGGAGCAAACGCCTTGGAAACCTGGCTGCCCGCGAAGAAAAAACCCACATAGACCTTCCAGTAGGCCTACAAGATCCAGATAGACCTTTGAGACTCAGGTACATGGATCTTGAAGACCTTCATAGGCCTTTGAGACCCAAGAACCACAAAGACCTTCTGGGTAGGCTTTCAAGACCAAAACAGGCCTTCCAAATAGGCCTTCAAGACCCACATAGACCTTCCAGTAGGCCTACAAAATCCAGATAGACCTTTGAGACTCAGGTACATGGATCTTGAAGACCTCCATAGGCCTTTGAGACCCAAGAACCATAAAAACCTTCTGGGTAGGCCTTCAAGACACACATAGACCTTCCAGTAGGCCGACAAGATCCAGATAGACTGTTGAGACTCAGGTACATGGATTTTGAAGACCTCCATAGGCGTTTGAGACCCAAGAACCACAAAGACCTTCTGGGTAGGCCTTCAAGACACACATAGACCTTCAAGTAGGCCTTCAAGATCCAGATAGACCTTTGAGACTCAGGTACATGGATCGTGAAGACCTCCATAGACCCAAGAACCACAAAGACCTTCTGGATAGGCCTTCAAGACCAAAATAGGCCTTCCAAATAGGCCTTCAAGACCCACATAGACTTTCCGGGTAGGCCTTCAGGA